TGCAACCTATGGTCGGAAATACGTCTATCTGAACGTAGGTTTACGCAAACCTATTCAGTGGATTTTCCTAATCGCTGACGTCACAATGCCCATCATTGGCACGGACCTACTTAATCATCATGATTTGCTCGTAGACGTCCGCCGTAAACGACTAATTGACAACACTACTAGTTTGTCTATCAAAGGCATAACTTACGTAGGCCCCAGCTTGTCAATCGTTAAGATGAAAGCAATCCTCGATCCAACTTTTCAACCGATTGTTGATAAATATCCGGAACTGAATTGCCCATCTAACGATCTCCCGTGTATAACCAGCAATGTTATGCACCACATCATAACCTCAGGACAGCCCGTGACATCTAAAGCACGACGACTGGCCCCTGATAAACTGAGAATTGCCAGAAACGAATTCGATCATATGCTCACCCTTGGCATCATTCGACCATCGAATAGTCCATGGGCATCCCCGTTGCATATGGTACCGAAAAAGGATAGCAACGATTGGCGACCCACTGGTGATTACCGGCGAGTGAACGCCAAAACTACCCCCGATTGCTACCCATTGCCTCACATACACGACTTGACGGCAACGTTATCTGGAGCATCTATATTCTCCAAAATCGACTTGGTTAAAGCTTATAACCAAATCCCGATGGCAACGGAAGATATTCCGAAAACGGCTATCATCACGCCTTTCGGACTTTTTGAATTCCTACGTATGCCATTCGGCCTCCGGAATGCGGCCCAAACATTCCAACGCTTCATCAACGAAGTATTTCGCGGTCTCGACTTTGTATACGCATACTTAGACGACTGCCTCATTGCCAGTCCAGATAAGGAAACTCACCTTGGACACTTGGACTTGGCATTTGAAAGGTTACGCCAACATGGTGTTACCATCAATATACAGAAGTGTCAGATAGGCGTTGACTCACTCGATTTTCTGGGTCACACTATTGACTGCCAGGGCATACGCCCACTGGCTACTAAAGTCGAAGCAATACTGAACTTTCCGGAGCCAAAGACAGTAAAATGCCTTCGCACTTTTAACGGCTTGGTAAGTTATTACCGACGTTTTATTCCTAATTGTGCTTCTCTAATTCAGCCATTAACCGATCTCCTTCGAGGGAACAACAAGGCTATCGAACTCGACACGTCTGCTCGACATGCTTTTACTCAGGTAAAGAAAGCTATTGCAGATGCCACCCTCCTTATGTATCAGGATCCAACGGCACCGTTGAGTATCTCGGTTGATGCATCAGACACTGCAATCGGCGCAGTTCTGCAACAACTAGTTAACAACGAATGGCAACCACTCGCCTTTTTCTCGAGGCGCCTTCAAGTAGCTGAAACGAAGTACAGCACATTCGGGAGAGAACTTCTAGCTATGTACTGTGCTCTACGTCATTTTCGACATTCAGTTGAGGGTCGTGAATTCATCATTTTCACTGACCACAAACCTCTGACGTACTCTCTGAACTCAACTTCAGATAAGTATTCACCCAGGGAGTCGCGACAACTAGATTACGTTTCACAGTTTACATCAGATATTCGCCATGTTTCCGGAGTGAACAACACTGTGGCAGATGCCTTGTCACGTATTTGTTCTTTCACCGAAATCGACGGCATAGACCTTGTAAAACTGGCTCGTCTTCAAAAAGAAGATATTGAACTTCAGCGTGAGTTGTCGAAAACAACTCTACAACTAGCCAAGAAACCCTTAGGTATAGGAAAGGATACTATTCTGTGTGACATTTCCACTAGTACTCCTCGCCCCATCGTGCCTAAAAGTTATCGCCGTAACGTCTTCAATACGTTGCATGGCTTATCCCATCCAGGTATTCGAACTACTGTCAAGCTTGTAACTAGTCGGTTTTGTTGGCCTGGTATTAACAAAGAAGTAAGGGAATGGGCGCAGACGTGCTTAGCTTGCCAAAAGTGCAAAGTAATAAGACACACTAAAAGCCCCCTTGGTACTTTTCTTATCCCTGATGCCCGTTTCGAACACGTCCATATAGATTTAGTTGGCCCCCTTCCAGAATCTCATGGATACACCTATATGTTAACCTGCATCGATCGCTTCACACGATGGCCTGAAGCAGTACCCATCAAGGATATATCTGCTGAAACTGTCGCACGCGTCTTTGTAGAGAGATGGATCGCAAACTTTGGATGCCCATCTTCCATAACAACTGATCGTGGGCGGCAATTCGAAAGCGGTTTATTCTTCGCTTTGACTAAAATCCTTGGTTGCATGCGTTTTCGAACAACAGCCTACCATCCTCAAGCGAATGGTATGGTAGAACGTCTACACAGGCAGTTGAAAGCTGGTTTATCAGCTGCAAATAACACCCATTGGACTGAATCCCTTCCGTTAGTTCTCCTAGGGATACGAAACGCCTTAAAAACCGATGCTGGTTGTACTACCTCTGAGCTAGTATATGGCACAACACTACGACTGCCAGGTGAGTTTGTTTCTCCCTCGAGCTTCCCACCAGTGGTAGATCACTCCTCATACGTCAGCAGGCTTACAAACGCTATGCGTTCAGTTAAACCTGCTCCCCTCCGACCACAGTCCATTGATGTTTTCGTTCACCCTTGTTTAAAAACTTCTTCACATGTATTTGTTCGTCGCGACTCGGTACGTCGTCCTCTAGAACCCCCATATGACGGACCATATAAAGTGATTAAACGTACTGATAAATTCTTCGTTTTAGACAAAAAAGGCCGCGAAGACACCGTCAGTATCGACCGTCTGAAACCAGCTTACTTGGAAGGTAATCCCATTAGCCTGGAGCTAAACGTACCCGATAATTCACAAGTAATTGAATCTACTTCAGTCTTTGAAGAACTCCCTAGCACGGCGAAAGCCACCGAACCTTCGGTCGATCACTCTAAAAAAACGCGTTCTGGACGTCACGTTAGATTCCCAGAATACCTTCACACCTATCTCACATAACTGAGTGACACATCAATTTTTTTTATGTTGCGTCATTTAACACAAGTAAATGATATTTTTCCTATAACCGTACATAAAATTATATAAGATGTATATATTTTTTCCCGATATTTTGAACTTTACATTATTTTACTGTATAGTAGATGCATGTCATTTTTTTTGGTAAAAAAACGCTTATTTGGTACATTTTTCTTGACAAGGTTCTCAGCATTCTTGTTTTCTTTTCCAGGTGCAACGGGCACTGGACAGGAAACAAACGAAGCACGGGATCCAACGAACAACACTGAGGAAGCTATGTACAGACACCCTATTAGCATAGGCAGACAGACCAGCAGGCTCTCCATCAAGCCGCTTGGAAGATTTTTTTCACCCATCAGGGAACCATCGAGATTTTTTTACTTCCGGCTGGTCATGTCTTAGGGTCCTCACAAACCCACTAGGGGGGGAGTGAGCTGTAGCGGTAAATAATTCCCCAAAATTATTAACCACAGCAATCATCACTCAACATTGGATGCTGACCATCACTGTTTAAGTCGACTTGTTTAGCTGAAGGCTTACGGTCAAGCATCCCCGCCATTTGGTGCTCCGTCGTGTCACGTGCGTGCACGATTACTAGCTAGCTAAGCATTCATTCCTACCCGCGATTTGGTCCCAAAATATATATCGTATTTGGACGACAAAATCTGGTCTTTTGCTTTACCATTTGGTACTCGAAGAACGAACACTATTGAGGTTGTTGGTATAAGATCTTGCGTTAGTATAATCCGTACAACTCGCGAACGTCGATACCCGCAGCCCCTAAACCATAAAGCTGTTTGATGAGGTTGATACAGATTTAGGGCACTGAACTCTGTAGTGTTGAAGTAGTTTCCAAATTATTTCATGGTTAACATTGTTAGGGGCCTTTTCGAAGTCGATGAATTTGAGGTAGGGGTTTGACTG